AAAAAAAAAAAAAAACTAATTTGGTAAATATCTGCAATAATTTAATAAGTAAACTTACTCATTTCTGTTTATACTTTTATTCTAAATGCTAGTTGTTTATGAATGGTATTCTGCCTTAATTGGCCATTAGTAAAAGAAAATGTTTGCATTTCTGTGGCTGTGGCTTACTTTCAAATCTTGCATTTCACTGAGGGAGCCAGACTCCACGTGTATTTCCAGGATCTTATTTAATTAAAAGCCTTTGTAATAAAATTAATAAGTTGCCAATTTCATAAGTATCTCTTACATATCTACTGCAAGCAGGTAGTGTACTGCGTGTGGTAGAATACAAAGATAGTTGCCATATACTCCTTGCTCAGCGGGGAGCCTGCTTCTCCCTCTGCCTGCCTGCTCTGCCTGCCGCTCTCCCTGCTTGTGCTCTCTCTCTGACAAATAAAATCTTTAAAAAAAAAAAAAAAAATCCCCCCCCCAAAAAAATAGTTGCCATATAGTCTGAGTCTTTATGGGAGCTTGAAGTTTAATAGGAGGAAATAGATGTAATAGTGTAATAAAATGTTATATGTGCTATCATATAAATAGATATAAAACAGCCTGGAGTGTTTGGGAAACTCCAAACAGTTCCAAGTAACTGGAACCCCTAGGGGGGTTCAGGGGAGGGTGTGGGTGAGTGAGATGAAGCGCTAGGGAAGGAAAGAGGGGCCGAGAGACAGGGATTATGAGGTAGAGAGAGGGAGGGCGTCGAACCCAGAGGCAGACTGTGGCCAGCCCCTGCAGAACAGCCATGGGGACAGTGGCATGGACTACTGAGACCCAGTTAGGTGGCTGAGGGGCTGAACTAAAGCGTGACCTTAGAAGAAAATGAGGTAAATAAACGGGAGGAGGGAGAGGAGAAAGAGCAGTCTAGGATGATTGCTAGCTTTCTAAGTTGGTGAATAATGAATTCATCAATCAAGGAGCAAAAAACACTAGATGAGAAGAGCAGGTTTCATGGGAAAGGAGTTCTGCTGTGGATATGTTGAGTTTGTGGTACCTGCAGGCAGTTACTAGCTGGTTCCCTGAAACATAATAATTACGTGTAGTGTGTATGTATGTGTTCACTGTAAGTTTTACTGATATAAAGGATGTATAGTACATAATTGACAAATGATAACATACATGATACTCTTTATTATAAATTCCATGTAGCGAGCTGATTCTCATGGAATGCTCCCATTGTTCTAGACTTTTGTATCTGTAACCAATTACATGTTGCAGTTGACAAAGGAGTGCAGTTTGGACATAAATGTTTTCTTTAAGTTAAAGAGTAAAACTAAAGAGACAACTGAGATATGTGCCAGAACTTTACTCTTAGTCAATAAAGTCAGGGACTTCTTTGGAATCAGGTAACAGGTTTTGAACAGTGGAAGAATAGTTCCTCAGTTTTTTGTACTATTCACAATGGAATGGCTACAGACACATCACTTTTTTCTTTTAATTTTTATTTGTTTTTAATTCAAGTATTATTAACATATAGTGTTACATTAGTTTCAGGTGTACAATATGGTAATTCAGCAATTCTCTACATTACTCAGTGCTTGTCAAGATAAATGTACTCGCAATCCATTTCACCTGTTTCACCCATCCCCCACCCACCTCCCTTCTAGCCACCACCAGTTTGTTCTCTGTACTTAAGAGTCTGTTTTTTGGGGACGCCTGGGTGGCTCAGTCAGTTAAGCGTCTGCCTTCAGCTCAGATCATGATCCCAGGGTACTGGGGTCGAGTCCTGCTTTGGGCTCCTTGCCTAGCAGGGAGCCTGCTTCTCCCTCTACCTGCTGCTCTCCCTGCTTATGTGTGCTCTCTCTCTCTCTCTCTGACAAATAAATAAATATATAAAATTAAAAAATTATAAAGAGTCTGTTTTTTGGTTTATTTCATTTTTTTCATTGTTCATTTATTTTGTTTCTTAAATTCCACATATAAGGGAAATCATGTGGTATGTCTTTCTCTGAATTATTTCACTTAGCATTATACTCTCTATCTAGATCCATGCGTGTTGTTGCAAATGGCAAGAGTTCATTTTTTATGGTTGAGTAATATTCCATTGTGTCTATATATATATATATATACACACACCACATCTTTATCCATTCATCTGTTGATGAACACTTCGGTTGCTTCCATATCTTGCCTACTATAAATAATGTTGCAATAAATACAGGGTACATATATCTTTTTGAATTAGTGTTTTCATTTTCTTTGGGTACATATCCAGTAGTGGAATTACTGGATCATATGGTAATTCTTTTTTTAATTTTTTGAGGAACCTCCATACTGTTTTCCACAGTGGCTACAGCAGTTTGCATTTCTACCAGCAGTGCATGAGGGTTTCCTTTTCTCCACATACTAACTGATGCTTGTTATTTCTTGTCTTTTTGGTATTAGCCATTCTAACAAGTGTAAGGTGGTATCTCATTGTGGTTTTGATTTGCATTTCTGTGATGATGAGTGATGTTGAACATGGTTTCATCTGTCTGTTGGTCATCTGTATGTCTTCTTTAGAAAAATGTCTATTCATGTCTTCTGCCCATTTTCTAATTGGATTATTTGTTTTTGTTTTTGTTTTTTTTTTAAGATTTTATTTATTTATCTGAGACAGAGAGAATGAGAGAGACAGAGAGCACATGAGAGGGGGGAGGGTCAGAGGGAGAAGCAGGCTCCTCGCCGAGCAGGGAGCCCGATGCGGGACTCGATCCTGGGACTCCAGGATCATGACCTGAGCCGAAGGCAGTCGCCCAACCAACTGAGCCACCCAGGCGCCCTGGATTATTTGTTTTTTTGATGTTGAGTTGTATAAGTTCTTTATATATTTTGGATATTATCTCCTTATCAGATATGTCATTTGCAAATATCTTCTCCCATTCCATAGGTTGTTTTTAGTTTTATTGATTGTTTCCTTCGCTGTGGAGAAGGTTTTTATTTTGATGTAGTCCCAGTAGTTTAATTTTGCTATTGTTTCTCTTGTCTGAGGAGACACACCTAGAAAAATGTTTCTACAGCTGATGTCAGAGAAATTATTGCCTATGTTCTCTTCTAGGAGTTTTATGGATTTAGGTCTCAGAGTTAGGTCTTTAATCCATTTTGAGTTTCTTTTCGTTTATGGTGTAAGAGAGTGGTCCCATTTCATTCTTTTGCAGGTAGCTGTCCAGTTTTCCCAACACCCTTTGTTGAAGAGACTGTCTTTTTCCCATTAGATATCCTTGCCTCCATTGTCATAGATTAATTGACCATATAATTGTGGGTTTATCTTTGGGCTGTCTATTCTGTTCCATTGATCTATGCAGACACATCCTTTTTTAAGTTTAATCTTCATTGACTTTTCCTCCAACGATTTACTTTTTTTCCCCCTCCATCTCTTAAAGTCAATAAAACCCTTATTTGTAGTGTTTGCTAGTTTCCATAGTGTAAATATTCCCACCATGACCAACTTCAGCCCACTAATACAGCATCTCTGAACACAGACTTGGGAAAGATATGCAGTAGCACATCATTTTATTTCCACCACACAGATATAATAGGTAAATATAACCCCAAGAGCATAGATAATAGTGAAATAATTAAGAAATGATTAATTTGAGTATTTTCTTTGTTTTAAAGGAATGTGTTTCATTGTAAGTTTACGTAATTTAATAAAGGCTGTTCTTAATAACCAGTCCACAGAATTCCTGAAAATTTAGCAGTTGGCTCTCATAAGCCAGTAGGAGAAGCCTTGAGAATAAATATTGTCCAGGGAGAGCAGGCAGAAAGAGTGAGAAGAGACCCAAGGGCAAAGCCCTGCTTTAAAATCTGCCCTAATGGACAGACTTGGCGAAGAAGAGCCAGTGCAGGTGACTGAGCAAGCCACATAGTGGAGGGAAGAGAGCACTGTAAGGAGACCAGCACTATGGAACCACAGATTGAAGGGCTGAAAAGTTGTCTGTGGATTTAGCAACAAATCAGTGGTTACATTGGTGGTAAACATCTCAGTATAAGTGGTGGGTGTTGAAGCTAAAATTTCTGTTTCATAAAATGAGTGGGAGATGAGAAACTAGAGCCTACAATTTTAGTTCATTCCTTTGTAGGACTTCACTAAAGGATAGGGTGGAGACAAGGAAGGGATGCTAGGTAAATAGAAATTAGTATCAGGAATTCATCTTATTTGTAACGTGTAGGGAAGGAGCCACAGGTTACAGGTGAGGTGTAGGAGAGGAGAGGACCTCCTCTTGAATACGAAGACTAATCTGGAGCAAAAGGAATACCTTCTACAATAGAGGAAAGCAAATAAAGCAGATTGCAGATACAGATATGTTTTAGGTCGGGGCATGAGAAACTGACTTTACTGTAGTTTGTTTTTAATTGATATGAGCATTTGCTGGTAGCCAGGCCAAACATACTCATACTTGCTTTAACACAGTACTACAGCAGAGGGCTTACACATCTGTCGCTTGGTGGTTGGCAACTTTCAGTTTGTCTGTTCCTCTTTTGCTAGGCTAGAAAAATAAAGTTAGAATTAATCCTAATAAATACCTGTGTCTCAAAGTAAAAGCTTTGAAATGGGCGTGAGGAAACGTGTATGCGTAAAATGAAGATCAGTATCTGATGTTAATGCCAACACATCTTTCAGTGTGCTTGTGAAGTTCATAATAGGTGCTCATGGTTGTGCCGTGCCAGTGGAAGACAGGGAGGATCCTTACTCCTGCAGACTGCTCAACATCACGAATCCGGGTGAGTCGTCTTTTTCCTCAGCCCCGTGACTCCGCGTACAAGTTTGATGCTGAGGAAAAGTTTGCTAAGCTGACTAGTCTGGTGGTCTGTTTTTAGCAGACGACGATTGAGCTTTCATCAAAATGTATCTTTCATCCTTTTTGACAGATTGAGTGATCACTCTAGCTGTGAGGAGTCTTTTTAGATATATATAATTTCAGGATCCGGGAGAGTTTGTTCCTCGGTATGATTCACATGCATTTGGAGATCCCTTGCGCATAGATAAATCTGAATAATGGAGTTTTGAACTTTGAGATAACTGCTGATTTCACCATCTTGTCAATTTACAGTAACCTTGATAAGAATATTGTGAGTCAACTTTTAGAATTATTGGCTATAAGCTCCTGCAAAAGAAACAATGGTAAAAAATTTTAAATATGAGTAATAGTTTGTATTCCTTTACAGTTAAAGATCTGTGGGAGTTCTGATGATGAAGAAAGATGGTCCTAATCAGGCTCCCTCTGTTACCAGGGAACCCGTTTTAGGACATTGCTAACTGTACAAGCAGATGTCTTTCTTTACCAGCATTTCCTTTTATGTTCAGCTATCGTTTTAAGGAAGACTAAAGTTTTCAAAGTCTTAAGTGTGCTGATTTTAACTTCTGGTATTTTAAGATCTGGCAGACCTTTGTAATTATGTACACTTTACTCTTACAAGCAGCGATAGTGATGTCGTTGAGAGTGTGGGCTTTGGAGTCAGGCTCCATGGCTTTATTTATTTTTTTTAATTTAAATTCAATTAGCCAACGTATAGTACATCATTAGTTTTTGATAAAATGTTCAGTGATTCATCAGTTGCATATAACACCCAGTGCTCATCACATCACATGCCCTCATTAATGCCCATCACCGAGTTACCCCATGGCTTTAAATCTAGGCTCTGCCTTTTCTAGCTGTGTGACCGTTGATCAGTTATTCACCCCCTCTGTGCCTCAGTTTCACCATCTATAAACTGGGGATAAAAGTACTTACCTCATAGGGATTGACAGGATGAAATTGATACATATAAAAAATTCAGAATAGTTCCTGGGACGTGGTAGGTACTTAATATTAAAGAACCTGCCTTTTATAAAGTTCAGCTTCAATCAGCTTTCTAAATAAATTGTACCTTATTTTCAGGTCTCTATTGTGTAAAGCAGAGGTTTCTTACTTAGGATCTTTTAGTTAACATTGTAAGTAAAATTTCATGTGTAATTGCGTTTCTCCTCGTTTCTCTGTGGAGAAGGTCCGTTAGCTTGCACTGCAGTCCCAAAGGGACCATGAACCTAATAAAATGTTGTATTACTGATGATGTAAGAGTAGCCTAGAACAAATTACATTTGAAATCCAAACCAAATCAAATTTTTTTAAAATCTCACCTTAAATTAACCAGACTTTTATTATTTTAAGTGTTATTATTCATTAATAGTAAAGGAGTAGAACTATTAATTAATAGAAAAATTTCATGTATGTAATACCTAGGTTACAAATTTTTTTAAATAGGTGTAACTAAATTTATATTGAACCTAATTTTATCTTTTTGATGACTCCAATGTCATTTTAGGTTTATTTCAATACCTTAGGGTCATCATGAGCATTAATTAATCATCATGATACTCTGGATATGTAGTTTTGATTAATAGCATTACCAAAGCAGCAGGATTTCCTGTGCCTAGGTAGCTTGAAATTCAAGGTACATCTGTTCTTAATAGATAGGTAGTTAGATTATACCGTGCTTAACCTTGGCCTTTAACCCATATGCATATACTTTGAATCTTTTACATTTACTGAGTATATTAAAAAAAAACTTTTGCTAAGTGTAAAATAGCATTCTAGGAATTCGAAGGTAGGGATCCAAATGATCCTCTGGGTGTGGGAAGAAAACTGAATTTCTGTTTATCTGAAAATAAGACAGTGTTATCTTTATAAAGACTGAATATGTTGGTAACAGTAATATGTGTGTCTGTTTTGTTAATAGATATATGAGTGTGTGTACAAATGCGTTTAACTGATGTGGTTGTGTGAGCAGGAAAATTGGAAAACCACAGCTCTGAAAGATACAAAGAACTTCAATAAAATCTTTTAGAATAGGTTTTTATATTATTTCACAAAGTGGCACTGATATTCTCAGCCATGTGAACTGTTTCATGTAATCGGTCCTGATTTCATTTATAGTAATTGAAAACATTATTTGCAAAGGACTGTTTCTGGCTTTGATTTAGGCAGCTGTAGGGGAGTGGAAAGAGCACTGAGTTTGAAGTCCATAAACCTGGGGTTGATTTCTGGCCCTGCCACTTCCTGTGACCTCAGGCGAGTTACTTAACATCTCCAGGCCTCAGTATCATAACCCGTGATGTCAGATAATGCCACGACCACACAGTGTAGTTGTGAAGCTGTAAATGCGATGGGGCATGGCACACAGTATGTGATCAGACATACTACTGTGTTTGATGTGCTTCTCTTTTATCAGTATTACATAGAATTTTTCAGTGTTATTGGAAGTGATTTCAAGGACTTTTGTCATGTGACATCACAAGTATTTTAAATTGCCCGACAAGAAGTAGAATTTTTGGAATTTGCAGAGCAAGACTAAACGTTCTCATTATTTATGACTGCATTAGGTACTGTTTTTAATATCCCTATTTATCGAACCTTTCCTAATAGATGCCTTTGATAATATTCCTCTATGGTGTTTAGACATATATATGCACACATATGCATACAAAAATTTATTAAAGTAGTTCTGATAATTAAATATTTTACCTAGATATAGCTAAAAACTTCATTCTTAAATTTCAAGATAAATTTATGTTTTTCCCTAGAAGCAGCCATATTTCTGGAGAATTTTTTTAATTACTGCCATTTGTGAAAGAATTATAAGATTATATTTGTTTGGTTATGTAAAACTCCTTTTCTCATTATTTCCTTAGTTTTGAACCAGGAAATTGAGGCATTCAGTCTTCCTGAAGACACCTCATCAGGAATTTCTGAGGACCGAGTGGTCAGCGTGAGCTTCCGAGTTCTCTACCCAATCGTTATTACCAGTCTTGGGGTGTTTTATGATGCCAACGATGTGGGTTTCCAGAGGAACATCACAGTCAAGCTTTATCAGGCAGAACAAGAGGTATGCACTGTTTTATACAAGGTTTTCCCCATTTTTCTTTTTAAAAAATACCAGCTTTTTCCTCATGGCATATAGTAGATTGGGAGACTATAGAATTACATCTGGTTGGAAGACTTCCACTTTTCTTCCCTTACTGATTGGATACATTATAGCATAATATATTAATATACTGGTTTGGGAAGAGAATACCAATGAAAAATAAATGTGTTATATCTAGAAAAGAAGGGATTGGGCCAGATTAGAAATTTCCAACCTAAAATTCCCTAAAGCCTAAGGAATTACAGAAGTTGATAATGAATGTAGAAACTTTGGGACTTTAAGGTATAAGCAAGTATTAGTGTCTCTTCATTCCAACCCTGAAAGTCTGTCTCTATAATACAAGGCTAACAGCTGCTTCACATGTCTTTTGTAATAAGGATGTAGAGGGAATGAAAGTTTAAAACAACTGGGATTACTCTCTTCCTGGTATGTGGGGAAATCTGATTTATTCACAGAGTACATCTGAAGGAGTATATTAGCAAGGAATTGTATTTGAAAAGATCTGTTTGTAGAAATCTTGGAGGAATTATACAGTGAACACCCATGTAGCCACCTAATTTCCACAGTAGTTAACATTCTGCTGTATTTCAGGGCGCCTGGGTTGCTCAGTCAGTTAAGTGTCTGCCTTTGGCCCAGGTCATGATCCTGGAGTGCCAGGATCCTGCCCCACATTGGGCTCCCTGCTCAGCTGGGAGTCTGCTTTTCTCTCTGCCCCTCACCCTGCTCGTGCTCGCTGTCTCTCCCGTTCTCAAATAAATAAACTCTTTTAAAAAAAAATTTGCTTTATCATATATAAAGTTGTTCAACAATCTATCTTTTTTTTTTTCCTGACTGTATTTCAGAGTCAGTTTCAGGCATCAGGACACTTTGTCCCTAAACACTTCAGCATGCACATCATTAACTAGCCTGTTTTTTGTTTTTTCCATTAACTAGACTTTAATATTTATTTGTGGTTTTTTAAATTTTATGCACAGTGAAATGTACATTAGGTCAGTTTTTTATTTATTTATTTTTTAAGTTTTTATTTATTTAATCTCTACACCCAACGTGGGGCTCGAACTCATGACTCCAGGATCAAGAGTCACATGTTCTTCTGACTGAGCCAGCCAGCTCCCCCTCAGTAAGTTTAAACTGCATAAAGCTGTGTAACCCAAACTCCTATCACCCTGTCCCACTTCTCAGAGATGGCCTTTTTTTTTTTCCCTCTGTTACCATAGACTAGTTTTGCCTGTTGTGATATTTAATATGTAAATAGAATCATAAAGTACTCTCCTGTGTAAGGCTTCTTTCACTCAACATGTTTTTGTAACTCATCCATGTTCTTATATGTATTCATGATTTTTCCCTTTTCTTTTACCTTTTTTTTTTTTTTAAGTAAGCTATATGCCCAATGTGGGGCTTGAACTCACAACCCTGAGATCAAGAGGGCATACTCTGCCGACTGAGACAGCCAGGTGCCGCATTCCTTTTCCTCTTTTTAATTGCTAAGCTGTATTCCAGCAATATGTTTATCCGTTCTCCTATTGCTGGGCATATAGAATGTTTCCAGGGTATTTCTCCTTTACTCTGTTAATGGGATGAATTACATTTATTGATTTTGGAATGTTAAACCAATCTCCTATTCCTTGGTCTTGATGTATTATTCTTTTTTTTTTTTTTTTAAAGATTTTATTTATTTATTTGCCAGAGAGAGAGAGAGAGAGCACAAGCAAGGGGAAGGGCAGAGGCAGAGGGACAAGCAGACCCCCCGCTGAGCAGGGAGCCTGATGTAGGGCTCAATCCCAGGACCCTGCGACCATGACCTGAGCCAAAGGCAGATACTTAACGGACTGAGCCACCCAGGCGCCCCTCTTTTATATATATATATATAGATAGATGGAAATTGTGTTTCCTGAGGACAGCATATAGTTGGGTCTTCCTTTTGATCCAGTCTGAGAATCTCTACCTTTTACATGGAGTGTTTAGCCATTTACATTTAATGCAGTTATCCAATTGTTTTTCATTTTGCTCTTTGTTTTCTGTTTGTTCTACTTTTTCCTGTTTCTCTCTTCCTCTTTTCCTGCCTTTTTTGGGTTTGAGTATTTTTTAGAATTCCGTTTTAATTTCTCTGTTGTCCTTTCAGCTATAGCTCTTTGCATTCCTCTTTTTTATGTATGGTTGACAGAAAGATTACAGTATACATCCTAAACTTGTCATTTTTCTTAAAATTAATGTTGTACCCTTTCATGTAAAATATAAGAACGGTACAGTGTTACAGCTTGTGCTTTAAACAGCTAAATGCGTATTAAAGTACTTTAGAGGAAGAATCATCTTTTATGTCTGCCCACATATTTACCATTTCTGGTGCTCTTCATTCCTTCCTGAATATTCAGGTTTCCTGAATGTGCAAGTTTACTGGTAATGAATTTGATTAGTTTTCATTTTTCTGAAAATGTTTTTATTTTGCCTTTATTCTGTCCTCCTCCACCCCCATTTTCTTGTGGAATATTTTCTGGGTATAGAAAGTCTGGGTTGACCTCTTTTATCTTCAGTATTTTAAAGATGTCATTTCAATATATTCTGACCTTCATTTTTTCTGGTGAGAGGCCAACTATCCTTCATATTATTGTTCCCATGTATGGTATATGTAATTGGTTTTTTGTCTGTTTGTCCTGGCTGCTTTTAAGATTTTCTCTTTATATTTGGTTTTAAGCAGTTTGATTGTGTTGTACCTTGGGTGTGGTTTGTTCTTTGTGTCTATGCTGCTCAGGGTTTGCCAACTTTCTTTAATCTGTAAATCTTTTACCAAATTTGGGAAACTTTTAGCTATTATTTCTTCAAAAAATTTTCCTCAGCCCCATTTTCTCCACTCATTCTGGGATTCCAACTGCATGCATATTAGACCTTTTGCCATTGTTCCACAGATCACGAAGCTGTGTCCATTTTTTCAAATTATTTTTCTGTTTTTCAGATTCGATAATTCCTTCAGTCTATATTCACATTTACAGACTCTTGTGCCATCTCAAATCTGCTGTTAAAAAAAAAAAAAAATCTGTTAAACCTTGCCAATGAAAGCATTTTAGATATTGTACTTCCTAGTTCTAGCATGTCCCTTTAATTCTCTTTTGTAGTTTTATTTCTCTAAAATTTCCTGAGTTCATTCATTTTGAACATATTTTCTTTACAGTTTTGACCTTAGGTATAATAATGGCTTTAAAATCCTGTTTATTCTAATTTGAATCATGTTGAGGCCTGTCTTTATCGATTATCATCTTTTCTCTTGAGTATGAATAACATTTTCCTGGTTTGTCTTATATCCAGGTAACTTTGGATTATATCCTAGATATTGTGAATGATTCATTGCAGGATCTCTGGATCCTCTTATATTCCTGAAGAGTATTGATTTTTGTTTTGTTTTGTTTTGTTTTAGCGGGCAATTAAATTGGCTAACGGAGAGGTTTTTTTGAGAGAGAGAGAACACAAGCAGGGGGAGTGGCAGGCAGAGGGAGAGGGAGAAGCAAGCTCCCCCGCTGAGCAGGGAGCCCGATGTGGGGCTCCATCCCAGGACCCTGGGATCATAACCTGAGCTGAAGGCAGACGCTTAACCTACTGAGCCAACCAGGCATCCCTCTTTTTGATCCATTTAATTGTCTTAGTATATGTAATCTTTTTTTTTTTTTTTCAAACCATTTGTAATGTTTGAGTTATCAGTGAAGAGACTTGGCCCAGACAGTATTTTGATAATGTTGATTTATTTTTTAGTTGCCATATTTTTAGCCAAGAAGTTAATCTTTGTCCTAAGGAAAGTCTAGTCTAAGATCGATGCTAATGGGTTTGCAGGTAGTCACAATACAAAGGTATTACCACCGTATGGCCAAGAACTGGTGTTAATGAAGAAATACACATAATCCACTAAAACCCCCCTAATCCTAAACTTCTGCGTGGCCTTCATAGCTTTAACAGAAATTTCTCCTGTAGTAAGCTGGTGTATAAGAATAGGCATGAGAGAAGTAGGAAATATTCTTGCCTAAAACAAACTGGGAAGGACTCAAAAAAACACAGTACAGGTGTACCTCAGAGACACTGGTAAAGCAAATATCCCAGGAAAGCAAGTCCAATGAACTTTTTGCTTGGTGCACCTGAAAGTTATGTTTACACTTTAATGTCATCTATTACACGTGCCGTAGTATTAATATTAATGCAAATATCACAAAAACAAGGTACATACCTTAATTTAAAAATACTTTATTGCTAAACAGTGCTAACCATCATCTGAACTTTCATCAAGTCATAATTTTTTTGCTGATGGAGGGTCTTGCCTCGATGTCAGTGGATGCTGACTGACCAGGGTAGCAGCTACTGAAGGCTGGGGTAGCCGGGGCCATTTCTTAAAATAAGACAACAGTGAAGTTTGCCTCACTGACTGACTCTTCCTTTCACAAATGATTTCTCTGGGATGCTGTTTGATAGCATTGTACCCAAAGTAGAACATCTTTCAGAATTGGAGTCAACTTCTCAAACCCTGAAGCTGCTTTATTTATCAACTCTGTTTATGCCACATTCTAAATCCTTTGTCATTTCAGCAATTTCACAGCATCCTCACCTGGAGGAGATTCCATCTCAAGAAACCACTTTGCTCATGAGTAAGAAGCAACTCCTTATCCATTAAAGTTTTATCCTGAGATGGCAACCGTTCGGTCACATCCTCAGGCTTCACTTATAATTCTGGTTTTCTTGCTATTTCCACCACATCTGCAGTGACTTGAACCTGTCAGAGTTCTCCATGAGGGTTGGAATCAACTTCTTCCAAATTCTGTTAACGTTGGTATTTTGACCTCTTCCCATGAATCATGAATGTTGTTAATGGCACCTACAATGGTGAATCCTTTCAGAAGGCCTTCAGTTTACTTTGCCCAGATCCATCCGAGGAGTCTATGGCAGTCTTACAAAATGTATTTCTTGAATAATAAGACTTGAAAGTCGAAATGATTCCTTGATCCGTGGGCTACGGAATGCATGCTGTGTTGGTGGGCATGAAATGCTGTGTTAGCAGTCACCTAGCTCGTGGGTGACCAGGTGCATTGTTCAACGAACAGTCATATTTTGAAAGGAATCTTTTTTTTCTGAGCAGTGGTCTCAACAGTAGGCTTAAGATATTCAGTAAACCATGCGTAAGCAGATGTGCTATCATCCAGACTTTGTAGTTCCATTTATAGAGCACAGGCAGAGATTTATCGTCATTCTTAGGGTCCCTAGGATTTGTAGAATGGAAAATGAGCATTCAACCTAAAGTCACCAGCTGCATTTACCCCTAACAAGAGAGTCAGCCTGTCCTTTGAGGCTTCGAAGCCAGGCATTGACTTCTCTCTAGCTAGAAAAGCCCTGGATGGCATCTTCTTCTGATAGAAAGCTGCTTTGTCTACACGGATAACCTTACTCAAGTGTGGCCGCCTTCCTGAATTATCTCAGCTCCATCTCCTGGAGAACTTGCTACAACTTCTCCATCAGCACCTGCGGCCTCACCTGGCACTTTGATGTTAAGGAGACCGCTTCTTTCCCTACACCTCCTGCATCCACCTCTGCCGGCTTCCAACTTTTCTTCTGCAGCTTCCTTCCCTCTCTCAGCCTTCATGGAATTGTAGTTGGAGCATTGCTCTGGATTAGGCTTTGACTTAAGGGAGATGTTGTGGCTGGTTTGACCTTCTATCCAGAGACTTTCTCCGTATCAGCAAGAAGTCCGTTTCTCTTTCTTGTTCTTTGCGTGTTCACTGGAGAGGCACTTAGAGTTTCCCTCAAGAACTTTTCCTTTGCGTTCGCAAAGAGGCATAAGAGGCCCAGCTTTCAGCCTCTCTCTGCTTTCAACTTGCCTTCCTCACTAAGCTTTAAAACACTAGCTTTTTTTTTTTTGTATTTATTAACTTTGCTTGTATTATAATTTATTTAACTCTTAAGTTTACATCCTTTAAGTTTTTTTAAAATCTAAATTCAGTTAATTAACATATAATGTATTATTTGTTTCAGGGGTACAGGTCTGTGATTCATCAGTCTTGCATAATACCCAGTGCTCATTACAACACATCCCCTCCCCAGTGTCCATCACCCAGCCACTCCATCCCTCCCACCCCCCTCCACTCCAGCAACCCTCAGTTTGTTTCCTGAGATTAAGAGTCTCTTATGGTTTGTCTCCCTCTCTGATTTTGTCTTGTTTCATTTTTCCCTCCCTTCCCCTATGATCCTCTGCCTTGTTTCTTAAATTCCGCATATCAGTGAGATCATATGATAATTGTCTTTCTTTCTTTGACTTATTTCGCTTAGCATAATACCCTCTAGTTCCATCCACCTCATTGCAAAGGACAAGATGTCATTTTTGATGGCTGCATAATATTCCATTGTATGTATATATCACATCTTCTTTATCCATTCATCTGTTGGTGGACATCTAGGCTCTTGCCGTAGTTTGGCTCTTGTGGACCACACTAGCCTTTGCTTTAGAGTGAGAAACCTGCAACTCTTCCTTTCACTTGAACACTTACTGTAGGGGTATTAAGTGGCCGAATTTCAATATTGTTGTGTCTCAGGGAATAGGGGAGGCTGAGGAGAGGGAGAGGGATGAGGAAGCGCTGGTCAGTGGGTTTATCAATTAAGTTTGCCGTCTTATTTGGGAGCAGTTCATGGCCCCCCCACAATTAAAGTAGTATCACAGATCACCAAAGCAAATATAATAATAATGAAAAAGTGTGAAATAGTACAAGAATTACCAAAATGTGACACACAGACTCAACGTGAGCAAATGCTGTCGGAAGAATGTCGCCTCTGGACTTGTTCATTGAGGGGTTGCCACAAACTGTAGAAAACACAGTACTCCCCAAGGCGCAGTAAAGCCGAGTGCAGTTAACGCGGTGTGCCTACAGACATAATGGGAATCAGCCCTCTTATATGCTCCCTTCTTTGCTTCTGTGCATTTTTTCTTCTAAAGGTTCTTTCTGAAGGGGGGCTCCTGGAGTACCTTTGTTCTGTGTAGAAATATGTCATCTTTCAGTTTCTTCTTAACCCTTGGGGTTAAGCCTAATGATTCAGCTTGATTTAACACCTCACACCTCCCCTAGTGCTCCTCATTTCAAGGTAGGCTTTGGTTTTTTATAAGGTTGTGGGGATTTTATTTCATGTTTTGGAAATTTAAGACAGCTTTTGTTATCTTAAATATCTACTTAATAAACGTGATCACACTGGAAAACGCAAATGATGTCTCAACATCATTTTCGGCCCATATTAACTCCGGTTGGGGCCATTGAGGATTAAGCTGCCCAGGATAGAAGATGTTGAAAACTTGCCGAATACGCAATGTCTGACGTGGAGTCTTTCTTTTTTTCTTTTTTTCCCCCTATTTCTTGTCCCCCACCCCCACCTCCCATTTGTAGGAGGCCCTCTTCGTGGCTCGTTTCAGCCCTCCAAGCTGTGGTGTGCAGGTGAACAAGCTGTGGTACAAGCCTGTGGAGCAGTTCATCCTGCCTGAGGTACGGGGTGTCATGGAAGGCTGTAGTGGCCTGGCACTGTGCTCTCAAAGGCCGGCGGTTGATGCTTTGTTGGACCAGGACAGCTCTTCAGAGTGCTGGATGGGGCCGCCAACTTTGTGCACAGATTACGGAAATGTAGCACTCTGCACCGTCCCTTTTCACAGCCTGGTAATGCCTCAGAGGGTCCCAAACCACACTTGCTGAAAGGCACTGCCTGGTTTATTCAGTGGATTGAGAACTGCATGACTGTTTTAGTGACAAAGGATAATAATAGGTATGGATTGATGGAAACACGAGACCCAGATACCATTTGAATGAATCAGGTCGTTTACTTATCTAAAGAGGGTGGGGGTGGTAGGGTGCAGGCAGGATAATTGCAAAGAGATTGACCACATTTCTAAGATGAATAAAACCTCTCGAGGTTGCGGAACATGTCTGAAAACACAGCTGTCACCTTCTAGGTCCAGTCTTGAGTAGATGTGTCCTAGAGATCCCCTCACCTACCTGCCAAGTGCCCGCATCAGCCTGCAGTTAAGCCGCAGGATGGTTGCAGAGGATCGTGTGGTGGGCAAGAGCGGATTACTCATCCATCCACCTCGGCCTCTCCAGGCTAGTTCAGTCTAGTCTGAGTACATTCCTCAGTTCAGGGCTTTGGAACCACATAGGGTTCAGTTTCTCAAGCATCTTGGGGAGTCACTGTAGCTTAGCTGTGGAGTTCGTCCTGCAACGTCAAAGCTGAGCTAAATCATCATGGGAGCTAGACCACTGACGAGCTCTGCTGACGAACCAAGAAACATTTTCCCAACACTGGTCTTGTGGGTTCTGTTTGCCTTATACAACACATCTCAAAATATGCTGTGGATCTTTGGCGTTCAGTACAAGTACTTGAAACTATATATGTCAATTCTGTAGATGTGAAAGGGCTCTCCTTTATTTCACCTGAACACAAACTTCTGCTTAAAAAACATTTATTTTTTTAAAGATTTTATTTATGTAGTTGAGAGAGAGAGAGCACGAGTGAGCACATGAGCAGGGGGAGGGGCAGAAGTATGTCCCATCAAAAGTATCTTTTACTTTTAATTAAAAGCAGTGGCTTAGCTAAGTCGTATTTGCTAAGTGTTGGATCTCAGCTTTTGAAGGAAGCCATTCTTTGGTTTGTGTATTCATTTACTCAGAAAATATTTGAGAGGGGCGCCCGGGTGGCTCAGTCATTAGGCATCTGCCTTCGGCTCAGGTCATGGTCCCAGGGTCCTGGAATCGAGCCCCACATCGGGTTCCCTGCTCAGCGGGGAGTCTGCTTCTCCCTCTCCCACTCCCCCTGCTTGTGCTCCCTCTCTCGCTATGTCCCTCTCTGTCAAATAAATAAATAAAATCTTTAAAAAGAAAGTATTTGAGAAATTAGTGTGTGCCAAGCACCGGGGCTCTGTGAGGACCCAGTACGAAGATCCCTGCCCTGAAAGCAGCTTCCGTCCTAGAGGGACAAGAGGAGCCAGCACTGAGACCGTACTTACCGTGTGCCAGGCCTGGTGTGAACGCTTTTCCTATATGAACTAGTAGGTAAGCTCCTTGAGGCTTGAAGCGAGTCATCAATGAGACTTTCTGCTCAGAAGGAGCATGGGCAGGACCTCAGGCTTCCTGCGGTTCCTAGACCTCCTCCCGAAGGGAGAGTCATGTTATTCTGAGGAGCCCAGGAACACTGGCGTTGTGTTAGGTGGTATCAGAGCGGTGTGAAGCCGGATGTAGAGTGCATTTGCACAGAAAAGACTTAGGATTGGCATCGGTAGGAAAGAGAAAAATGAGGCACCGGGGAGTAAGTACGTGAGGGCACGTTCGGGGCCAAGTGCCCTGAGCAGGAGCTGCGGGTGTGGCACGGGTGAGTCCGAAGCCCTGCGCTGCCGCTCGGGGTCTGTGCGGCCTCGCACAAGCCGTTCAGTCTCACCGTGTCCATCCCCTCATCTGTGAGATGGGGCTACACCACCCAGTTGAGAGGCTCATTTTAGGGACTAAATGATTTTCATACGTGCAGAATGCCTAGAACATGCTGCCACATGGTAAGTATTCGGGAAATAAATGCACACTGTCCTTATTTTTGCTGCTACTCATCTGGATTTTCGGGATCCGTTCTTCAGGAGCAGAGTTTCTGCAACTGGGGCTGTTGGCCCAGGAGGGGCATTTAGCAATGTCCAAAGGCTCGTTCAGGTGTCACAGCTCGGGGTGGAGCGGTACTGGCATCTAGAGGCCAGCGATGCTGCTGAACGTCCTACAGCACACGAAAGCCCCCACAACAAAGACTTGTCTGGCTCAAATTGTCGATGGTGGCAAAGTTGAGAAACTAAGAGGAAGGAGTCACAATGAGGGGCAAAGAGGAAGAAAATTAGCTTTAAAGCTTAAGGCTAATCACAGTGTTACAGAGTCTGCCCCATTATCTTGGTCAGTCTTCTAGATAGAATTACAAATTTTTTTTTAAGATTTTATTTATTTTAGAGCACAAACAAGGGGAGCAGCAGCAGGGGGAAGGGAGAAGCAGACTCCCTGCTGAGCAGGGAGCCCGATGCGGGACTCCATCCCAGGATCCTGGGATCATGACCCGAGCCGAAGGCAGACGCTTCACCGACTGAGCCACCCTGGCGCCTCTAGAATTACAAATTTTGGGCATGCCTGGGTGGCTCAGTCGGTGAAGCGTCTGCCTTCGGCTCGGGTCATGATCCCCGGGTCCTAGGATCGAGCCCCACGTCCATTTCCCTGTTCAGCGGGGAGTCTGCCAGCCTGCTTCTCCCTCTGCCCCTCCAGCTCACTCTTTCTCTCTCTCTCTCTCCCTCCCTCTCCTCTCCCCACTCATGCTCTCTCCCTCTCTCTCTCTCAAAATGAATAAAGTCTTTTAAAAAAAAATTACAAATTTTGATTAATCCACAAAAATTATTACTTTCCCTTAGAACGTCCTTGTTCTTAGGAAATACATGTTTAAGTACTCAAAAGGTGACATGTCATGATACCTGCTTTGCTTTCAAGTGCTTAACCAACAAGAACAGAAAAATATGTGTATACAGACAGAGATAAAGCAGATGTGGCTAAATGTTAACAGTTGGTGAGTCTAGGTGATTTGGGCTTAATTTCAGCTTTTCTATAGGTTTGAAGTTTTTCAAAATAACTGGGTTGAGGCAAGGACAGTGTATCTAGCAGGAGGTGCTAATGATGGGACAGTGAGTGGCCGTTTCAGTTAAGATTTTTCAAGCCTACAGCCTTGTGAGCTTTATTTCACTTTAAACTTTAAGCTAAATTGACTTTTTATTTTTCATTACTTCTGAGTCATATTTTTTCCTTTTAAAAACGTGCCATTATTTAACAGTGGCTATACCCGGGGGTGAGGAGGTAGGATTATGGATGATTTTTATTTTCTGCTTTTTGTGCATTTCCCAAATGTTCTGTAATAAATATATATTAGCTTTATAAAAACAAAAAACTCTTTAAAAACATGCCATCCTTTTACACAAAATCTTATTTTTGTTGAAAACGTGTTTAATTGTACATAGATACTCATTTTTGCTGCTTCAAGCCTAATTGGGTTTATTAGCACAGAAAAAGTGATAGTGGGTGAATGGTTTGCCTGCGTATCATCAGCAAAGAATGACAGAAGACAAACATCATTTATGCCATTTTTTAAGAGAGTAGTAGATGATTTCTTCATCATCTTCTTCGCTCCATGCCTCACAGCCTGCTGGAGTAACATGTCAGCGGATAGCTTGTCAAGTAAGCAAACCTCTTGCAATGTTTTCATCGTGTGACTCACTAAAGCATAAATCTCAGTGGGAGTCACAAATTTAAATGGAGACTGCTGTGCGCTTCTCTTAAAATATTTATTTCTCTAATTTTGTACTTTCCTTACTAGTGCAGTTGAAACCTGAAACCAGTTTCAGTAAAAAGACTATTTGTGTTCACCTGAGTCACTAGAGACACCACTCTTAGCTGTGCGGGTACTTACATACTGTTCATGACAGTCGGAACTCTTCAGGTGTAGTCATTTCCCCAAGCCATAAAAAATTGTTAAATCCAAAAATAGTATAGATTTAAGCTGCTCTGTTGGTTTGGATGAGAAGTTAGAAACATGACACAGAGGAATTAACACGTGAAAGGGGTTGCAGAGAGCATGCTCACGTTACGGGTGAGATCATTTATGAGATCTCCTTTTTCCAGCCCACACCACGATGTGTTTCCTAGCTTCTGTTTTGGTTTTATGGTCTTAGCAGGGAATTGCCACAAACCAGTTGTTTCTCATCTGAAGAGATCCCTAGCTTTGTGATGACTTTGTATCAGAGAGTAGAAGGCAGGCCTGTGAGAGAAGTGAGAAACAGAGATTCAGCTGTGACACGGAGCAGGCGCAGATAAAGGCGGGGTGGACACAGTTCCTTCCTTCCCTAAGCCCCGCTGGCTTACAGAAGTGCAGTGAAGAAACCAGGATCGTTCTGGGGGCCAATGAGTTTTTCCGGCAGTTACTCACTTTAGTCCACATTATTGATGTTGTATCATATCCCAGTCACAAAGTAACTGTGGTTGGACCCCAGCAGGAGCCACCATGAAATAGGGTAAATGCCAAGTGTCAGTTGAATGGACAGGACAGAGAATTACTTGTTTTGTCATCATATTTTCTAGATTCATAGTTTCAAGGCGAAGCATTTTTATTTGGTCATGATAGCTTTTACTTTTGGTATGGTTCATCTGAAACTGCAGTCACTAAGATTGCAGTGACCCAACTGCCAACTCCAGGGGACACTTTTTGTCCTTCACTTAGTTGATTGCATTTTTCTCTTAGCTTATATGATCTACATTCTTTTGGTTCAGCCACATCCGGTCGTTCTTCTTCCTGATGTACTTCATTATCTCCTCTCTCGCTTTCCTCTTTTTTTTAAAGATTTTATTTTTAAGTTCTCTCTACACCCAAAGTGGGGCTCGAACTCAAAACCCTGGGATCAAGAGTCGCATGGTCCACTGAATGAGCCAGCCAG